TTTGCAGCCAAAGATGGAGAAGCTCTATACAGTCAGCAAAAACAAGACCTGGAGCTGACTGTGGCTCAGATCATGAACTCCTTATTGCCATATTCAGACTTAAATTGAAGAAAATAGGGAAAAACACTAGACCATTCAGATATAGCCTAAATCAAATCCCTTATGATTTTAAGTGGAAGTGACAAATGGATTCAAGGGATTAGATTTGGCAGCATTCCTGAAGAACTATGGACAGAGGTTTGTAACATTGTACAGGAGGCAGTGATCAAAACCATCCCCAAGAAGAAAAATTGCAAAAAGGCAAAATGGTTGTCTGAGAAAGGCTTACAAATAGCTGAGAAAAGAAGACATGCAAAAGGCAAAGGAGAAAAGGAAAGATATATCCATCTGAATGCAGAGTTCCAAAGAATACCAAGGAGAGATAAGAAAGCCTTCCTCAGTAATCAATGCAAAGAAATAGAGGAAAACAAAAGAATGGGAAAGACTAGAGATCTCTTCAAGAAAATTAGAGATTCCAAGGGAACATTTCATGCAAAGATGGGCACAATAAAGGACAGAAATGGTACGGACCTAACAGAAGCAGAAAATATTAAGAAGAGGCGGCAAGAATACACAGACGAACTATACAAAAAAAGATCTTAATGGCCCAGATAACCATGATGGTATGATCACTCACCTAGAGCCAGACTTTCTGGAGTGCGAAGTCAAGTGGGCCTTAGGAAGCATCACTACGAACAAAGCTAGTGGAGATGATGGAATTCCAGCTGAACTATTTCAAATCCTGAAAGATGATGTTGTGAAAGTGCTACACTCAATATGCCAGTAAATTTGGAAAACTCAGCAGTGGCCACAAGACTGAGCGACTAAACAACAACCAGTTGCTAACTTTTACCCTCTATATCTTAATATCTTACTGGTTGAGCATCACACATTGCTTGAACTATCAATTTTCTCTTTTACATGCCTCAGAAATAGGTCTTAAAGGGTCTTGTGGTAAAAATTACCAAACTTGCTTCTTTGTGCTGGAGAACCTCCAGTTGCTATTTATAAGCAACCTTATAAATACTAGAATTACTAGACTTCCTCATACAGCATGTTGCCAGGACTCACTATAGTGAGCAGCATATGAAGTAAAGGAATGGCTACAAAAACCAATTACCCACCTGACCTCTAGTGGGATGAGACCAATAGCAAACTGAGAATCTGACCTAACAGAGATCCAAAGTAAGTCACTGAAACCAACCAAAATTCTAGAAATCTTGTATTTTAAACTTTTTTCCTAATTAAAAACAGGGACCAACAATAGAGACTTACTGTTCAATGACAGGAAGGTGCTTTGCTCACAATCTCGAGTGCATGTATCATCCTTTTTCATTCTCTTAAGGCCAGTGTATCCTGGCCTTAAGCTCTCCACCTTTGGCAGTGGACCCAGATTGCCACTCCTGGTTTTCTTTTCTTTTTATTGAACTCTTGCCCTTTCTTTGGGTCTTCTAGTGCCTGGTTCTGCTAGAGAATGTCATGTGCTCTACATCATAGACTGCCTGCAAATCAAGGGTCAGACTACCTGGGCAACTTTCCTTCACCTGTAACATTTGTTTTTTGAGGCTTTACCCTTCGTCAGTTTCCCAAGACCCCAGACCCCAGACTGCCTCAAGTAGCCACTCTGGTGTTTCTCTACAGTAAATCCATGGTTCTGTGGATGCCATGGATTAGTTCTCATATCTGAGCATTATACTTAAATTTTAATTGCCTTTTCAATAAAAATGCTATAGTTCTCATTTATGAATAGTTCTACATGTCTGAATACTCATGTCAAACAATGTTTGCATGTGCTTTTCCTTATGGAAATTGTATTTGTTTCTACTTCTCAAAGTTGCCTTGCTGATAAAACTGAATTAACTTCAGGCTGTCAGTTTTCTTCTGGGATCCTGAAAAAAAGAGGTCTCATGATTAAGTGTAAATAGTACCCACATCCATTTACTAGTTTGTATCTCTGAATTGCTTGAATGTTTACCAACTTTTATAAAAATGTTCAGAGAAAAAAGGAGGCTAGCTTGATTCCAAGGGAGAAGGAAATGGCAACCCACTCCAGGACTCTTGCCTAGAAAATTCCACGGATGGAGGAGCCTGGTGGGCTACAGTCCATGGGGCTGCAGAGTCGAACACAACTGAGCGACTTCATTTTCTTCTTTCTTTCTTTGATTTCAAATGATTGATATTACCTAGCATTATTTCCATGGTAGAGATCAAGACCCAATTAAACACAACTGAGACTAGACTGTGAATTATCTACTTTGTTATACTTAACATGCTTTCTGTCCTTCGTCTAAACTCTGAGAGAAGAGAGTTATCTGTCAGATTTACCACTGTACTCCCAGGGCCCAGACTCACGCCTTGCACACAGTAGGCTCTCAGTAAATATACTACATTGATTGTTAGGTTGATTTTAGTAATCATTTTTCATTCATTAAATCTTCCATTTCAGAGTTTCTGTCTCTTTAGCTTTTTTTTTTTCCTTTATTTTTATTAGTTGGAGGCTAATTACTTTACAGTATTGTAGTGGTTTTTGCCATACATTGACATGAATCAGCCATGGATTTACATGTGTTCCCCATCCTGAACCCCCTCTCCCACCTCCCTCCCCATCCGATCCCTCTGGGTCATCCCAGTGCACCAGCCCCGAGCACTTGTCTCATGCATCCAGCCTGGACTGGTGATCTGTTTCACACTTGATAATATACATGTTTCGATGCTGTTCTCTCAGATCGTCCCACCCTAGCCTTCTTCCATAGAGTCCAAAAGTCTGTTCTATACATCTATGTCTCTTTTTCTGTCTTGCATATAGGGTTATCGTTATCATCTTTCTAAATTCCATATATATGTGTTAGTATACTGTATTGGTATTTATCTTTGTGTCTTTAGCTTTGAATATTTGTCCTTAACATGGTTTTGAACCTGTTAAATTATATTTTAACTAGGAAGCAGAAGCCTAAATAAGAAAAATCTAAACTAGTGACAGTACATTATAGAGCACATAGCTATAAAAACCACATGTTTATGGGCAATGGTTCATATAAGCTCTCTCTGGAAATATACTAGGAAGTAGAAGAAAATAGAGCCACCTTCAGAGGTTGAGAGCTCATTGTGAGCTACTTCTGTGTAAGGAAAGTAACTCAAATATTTTACATACTTTTCTTCAAATCTGAAGCAGTGTAGCCAGACTCAGATCCCAGATATGACACTAATTAGCTTTGTAACCTTTGGCGAGTCACTTAACCTTACAAGACTTTGTATCTCATCTGTAAAAAGGAAATAAGAATAATCCCCAAGTAATAGGATTGCTGGAAGGGCTAAATTGGATAGCACATGGTTCAGTTCAGTTCATTTCATTCGCTCAGTCATGTCCAACTATGTGACCCCATGGACTGCAGCACTCTAGGGTTCCCTGTCCTTCACCATCTCCCGGAGCTTGCTCAGACTCATGTCCATTGAGTCTTAGTAATGCCATCCAACCATCTTGTCTTCTGTTGTCCCTTTCTCTTCCTGCCTTCAGTCTTTTCCAGGATCAGGGTCTTTTCCAGTGAGTTGGCTCTTCTTATCACGTGGCCAAAGTAGTGGAGCTTCAGTTTCAGCATTAGTCCTTCCAATGAATATTCAGGGTTGATTTCCTTTAGGATTGACCGGTTTGATGCAAGGAGATCAAACCAGTGCATGGTAAATAAATATAATTAAGGTAAATGCTAGCTATTATAATTGACATAGTAGCCTAAAGCATTTGTGACGACTGTTCTATGAGAAATAAAAATATGGTAAATTATATGGTGTGGGCTTCCCTGGTGGCTCAGTGGTAGAGAGTCCACCTGCCAATGAAGGGAAGATCTCCTGGAGAAGGAAATGGCAACTACAGTATTCTCTCCTGGGAAATCACACGTACAGAGGAGCCTGGCAGGCTGCAGTCCATGGGGTCGCAAGAGTCGGACATGACTTAGTGATTAAACAACAACAAATAATAATATGGTAAAGTAGTTAATTATAAAAAAAATTACGCTACATTTCTAGGGAATACACATACCCATCTAATTGTTTTATTAGTTACTACAGTCTTATTTGGGTGACTCATTCCTGTATGTACAGCTTATTCTCTTTCATGAGGGCTCTTATCTGTTCAGGGAACAAAATGAAGATGTGTTTTTAATAACCCTTTAAACGCATTCCTGTGAGCTCCTTAAGAGCAGGAATTGCACCTGTTTTGTTCCACCACGAGAAGCCTACTGTCTAGTGACCAATTCATATTTGATTAATTAACTCATTAAATAACATCTTTGCCTCTGAGCCTGGCTGTGAGATTATATATAAACCGAGAATTAAGGCAGGCAATCAGCAACAGGGCTGGACTAGAGAGGATGGCTAATTTCTAACTGGTACTTTCAGACTTCTGGCTAAGTTTCACTATGAATTATGTATTTCTTTCCTGATGATATTGTGAAAATAAGAAGAAAACAGCAAGAGCTGGAGAAATAGGTGTATTCTTTAATATCTAACCATCATTACTGTAACTCAGCAGAACCTTTCTACTTCATTCCCAGAGTATTTTCCAACACATTTTATTTGCCAGATGCTGCCCTAGGAGATGGGAAGACATCTTTACCAAGGAAAGCCTAAATTTAGTATGTTTAGAATTTCTTTTTTTCATGAATCAAAGAGAATGTTCCAAGTATTTATATTGTAGTCTGTCAACTTTGTATTTTTATGCAAAAATACATTTGTATTTCTGTTTGTAAATATAGGGAGTTTCTTAAAAAGTGGTAACTATGTCCAAAATATTTTTATCCCCAAATAATCCATAAATAGTTAATTCACAATCACCACTCAGTAAATACACGTTTAAATCTTTATTACCTGATCTTCCGGGCTGCTTCCACATTTTTCTTTTTATAACTTGGACAAAAATTTCTATAGCTGAAACACATTGGATAACTGTTTTTCTTTCCTTCCATAAGCATGTTAGGAACTTACTCTGATGAATTTGGGAACCTAGATTTTGAACGATCCCAGCATGGTTCTGGAATGAGCAACAGATCAGCAGCAAAAAGATTTATTTCTGCTCTCAACAATATTGCTGAAAGAACTTACAATAATTTATTTCAGTTTCATCAACTTCAGCAGATTGCCAAAGAGTTAAATATTCAGGTATGATAAATAATTAGTAAATCTTTTTATAATAATTTCAGGATGGCTTTATTAATATAGAACTTTTGAATGTCAAAAGATTTAGACTAAAATCATGGAATATGCTGTTTTGGAGTATTTAAAACACATGCTTGTTTTTTAAGATATTTAGTTAGTTGCTCAGAACTTTAAAAAAACAGTTTTTATCTAAAATTCAAACTTCTTTTCAAAAGAGTTTTCAGCATCTTGATAGGAGAAACATCATAGCAAGTTTCCATGTTATTCTGACAGTCTCTGAGGGCAAGTCATCTTACGCATCATTGAACTTCAGTTTTCTCATTTGTTAAATGGACATGATTCCACTTGCTCTAACTACTTAAAAGTTTTAGTGAAAATGGGGGCAATAGCACTTTAAATATGTAAAACAGTTTCTATGGAAAATTGCTCATTCAATTTCAAAAGTTAGTCTAATTTTTGTTTTGAAGCTAAGCTAAAACACATATAAAAGATTCTGTGCATACTGAAGTTATTTTTGATTAGCTAGGTGTTATAGAATCCAAGGTTCGTATGTAGGCAGCTTTCTCTCTAAGAAGTACAAATGATTTTATTTGCCCCCAAAAATTGACAATTGTATATTACTGTTTGAGAGATTAATTTTAAAAAATCACATTTTTTGCATATTATTTAACAGGCTCTTTTATTATTTTCTACTAGGTTGCTGATTTTGAAAATTTTATTGGATCACTAAATGACCAAGGTTATCTCTTGAAAAAAGGCCCAAAGGTTTACCAACTTCAAACTATATAAAAGGTCTACCAAGCCAGGATCTCCTGGGTTTGTTATGAAGAATATGCAAAAAAACCCCACAAAAACTGTTCTCTGAAAATGGCACCCCAAATGTAATAGGAAAAGAGAGTTGAACTAATTTAAGAAGTGATAAAATCATATGTTAATTTTTTACTTCTCCAGAAGACTAAAAATATTTTACATTTTATCTAAATGATGTAATTAGAAGTTATTTATAGTTTTGTTTTTGACCTTTCTTTTTCTTATAAGTATTTCATAGTTGTGCATATCAAATGTCCATCTGGGTAAACAGTCACAAGGTTACATTTAAATGTTTAAATAGTTCTGACACACAAAATTGAGCATCTTTGAAATAAATTGAAACCAACTTTCAATTCCCCCAAATTTTGGAAATATTATATATTGACTTTTTAAAATTTAAATTTTTTTCTTTATCCTTTTTTATTAGCTGTGCTGTGCAGCTCACAGGACCTTAGTTTGCTGACCAGGGATTGAACCTGGACCCTTGGCAGTGAAAGCATGGAGTCCTGACTGTTTGGGCCACCAGGGAATTCCCTTAGCTTTATTTACTGACTTTGATTTATAACATGATATAAGCTTCATGTGTAACTAGACTTCTGTATATACTATTTCCTGCTCACCTAAAGCCTAGTGTCCATCCATATATTGACATATTAAGCTTAACATCATAGCTAATGAAAAAAATTTAAATAGCTGTGGAAGACTGTAGCAGCCTCTGTTCCACTCTTCCACATGCCCTAATTTTCTGTTCAGTCTCAATTGTTCTCCCATTCACCTCCATTTTTCTAAAGGACATGCTACTAATGCTAATTATTTTTTTTTCTTAAAGTATACTTGATTTATAATACTGTGTTAGTTTCAGGTGTACACCAAAGTGATTTGGTTATGCATATATATGTGTATATTATATTTTTTTCTATTCTTTTCCATTATAATGTATTATAACATACTGAATATAGTTCCCTATGCTATACAGTAAATTCTTGTTATCTATCAATAGTAATGCTCATTCTTGAGTTTTCAGTTTCAAAAATTATACTGACTTTTTACCTACCTCAGAATATGAGTGTAGTTCTTTTAAACCCTTTTATGTATATACATACATATACACTTTCCCATTTCTTTCCAGTTTAGTTATATATCATAATTTTTAGTTAAATCTAGTGAAAAGGCTGGCTTAAAACTCAACATTCAAAAAACTAAGATCATGGCATCTTGTCCTATCACTTCATGGCAAATAGATGGGGAAACAATGGAAACAGTGAGACACTTTTTTTTCTTGGGCTCCAAAATCACTACAGATGGTGACTGCAGCCATGAAATTAAAAGACGCTTGCTCCTTGAAGGAAAAGCTGTGACCAACCTTGATAGCATATTAAAAAGCATTGACATTACTTTGTCAACAAAGGTCCATCTAGTCAAAGCTATGGTTTTTCCAGTAGTCGTGTATGGATGTGAGAGTTGGACTATAAAGAAAGCTGAGTGCTGAAGAATTGATGCTTTTGAACTCTGGTGTTGGAGAAGACTCTTGAGAATCCTTGGACTACAGGGAGATCAAAACCAGTGATTTCCTAAAGGAAATCAGTCCTGAATATTCATTGGAAGAACTGATGCTGAAGCTGAAACTCCAATACTTTGGCCACCTGATGCGAAGAACTGACTAATTGGAAAAGACCTTGATACTGGGAAAGATTGAAAGCAGGAGGAGACGGGGACAGCAGGGCATGAGATGGTTAGATGGCATCACCAACTCGATGGACATGAGTTTGAGCAAGCTCCAGGAGTTGGTAATGGACAGGGAGGCCTGGTGTGCTGCAGTCCATGGGGTCGCAAACAGTTGGACACAACTGAGTGACTGAACATAGTCTTAATGTCACTGTGTCTGTTGAATATTATTCATCTCCTTTCTGGTATACTTTTTTCCCCTTAAAATTAATAATTTGTTTTTCAACTATTTAGCTTTCTATGTACTGACCACTAATTTGAACCCAAGGGTCCACTACAAGTCTTAAGTCTCCTCTCAGAATATGCAGATAAACCAAAGAACCTATTTTAACTGGAATTAACTGGAATTCTCTGGCCCTTTCCTATCTCAACTACACATCTGTCTGGGACTTCTCATTTTCTCTCCCATTTCCTGGCTCCCGTGTCTTTCTCTTTCTCATTTTATTCCCTCATTTTGGTGGAATCCATTTTTCAGTAGCTTCCTGAGGAAGAGTTTATAAGATACATTCTACCCTTATTCCTGGACTGACAATTTGGGCATAGAATTTTAGTTTGGAAATCATCTTCACTCAGAATTTTAGATATTGCTCTATTGCTTTTACTTTTCAATGTTGCTGTTTGGAAATCCAAAGCCATTTTTATTTTTGGCATGTGACCTTTATTTCCTCTTGACAAGCTATTTGTATCTTCCCTTTTGCCATGGTGTTCTGAAATTTTTTATAGTGTTTAGTAACTATCCTGCTGATTTCTATTGCCAAAAATGTTGGAGTTATCTTAATTTTCTCTTATCCCCTAATCAGTCCATCAACAAATCCTCTTAGCACTATCTTTAGAACATCTGAAACCTGATTACTTTTCATTACTTCCAGTTCCATATTCTGGCTCAATTAATCATCTTTTCTCCAGCTTCACAGGACAAAGACTTTATTCACCACTTTGGCCCTAGCATGTAAAACAGATTTTGACTACATACCCCTGTGAGGTAAACACACATAAAGTGCGTTCAGTTCAGTTCAGTTCAGTTGCTCAGTCGTGTCTGACTCTGGAACTCCATGGACTGCATCATGCCAGGTTTCCCTGTCCATCACCAACTCCCAGAGCTTGCTCAAACTCATGCCCACTGAGTCAGTGATGCCATCCAACCATCTCATCTTCTGTTGTTCCCTTCTCCTCCTGCCTTCAATCTTTCCCAGCATCAAGGTCTTTTCCAGTGAGTCAGTTCTTTGTATCAGGTGGCCAGAGTATTGGAGCTTCAGCTTCAGCCTCAGTTCTTCCAATGAATATAAAATAGGTGATTATACTGTTTATAAATGAGGACACAGAGTGTTATAGAACTTAACCAGAATGCTTAAGCAACTTGACTTAAGAATATAGAAAAAGGGTTTCCCTGACTACTCAGTGGTAAAGAATCTGCCTGCCAATGCAAGAGACATGGGTTCAATCCTTGATCTGGGAAGATCCCACATGCTACAGAAGAGCTAAGCCCAAGTGCCACAATTACTGAAACTGCTCTAGAGCCAGGGTGCCACAGCTACTGAAGCCTGTAGGTGCTAGAGCCCATGCTCTGCAACAAGAGAAGCCACCTCAATTAGAAGCCCATGCACCACAACTAGAAAGTAGCCTCCACTTGCAGCAACCCATGCAACAATGAAGACCCAGCACAGCCAAAAATATTTTTAAAAAGAATATAGAAAAAGAGAATAAAAGGAGTATCTAGTAACAAAAAGGAGGCATTCTCCTTCATTTCTCCCTGAGAGATTGCTCAAAAGCAATGAGGAAACTAAAGAATAAAAGTATATAGGCCATCTTCTGTGAACTAGGAAACAACTGAGACCCCCAAACCCCAACACTAGGAAGAACCACCAAAAGTTTCCAGGCAGCCTTGCATGAGGGAGGCAGAGATAATAGTGCCTATGACTGAAGATTTCTGAAGGAATCAACAAAGTATCTCTCAAAGTGTACTTTGCACACCTATTGGAGCAAAAAGTAAAACTACCATTGCAATAGTGTGAATAGAGTGTACAGATTGTCAGCAGCAGCTTCTCTGGACCTAGCTGACATATAAGAAATAAAAGGAGAGGTTTAATGAGAAGTCATAGATAAGCCACTTTGAAAACAAATCTAGCTGTCCTCAAATTTCTCCAAAGCAACACTCATCACGGAAGTATGTAGAGTAATACCTACAAATCTTTTTAACAAAGAATTTCATACCCAGATATTTTGGTCAAGTTTCTTAGTTGGAAATCTGGAGTCAATTTTTTTCTGTAAAAGACCAGATAGGAAAAATTTTAGGCTTTCTGGGCCATATATCCCGTCACAACTATTCAACTCTGCCATTGTAACATTCAAATGAGTGTAGATGTGTGCCAAAAAACTTTACTAATAGACACTGAAATTTGAATTTCATAAAATTTTCATGTGTCTAAAATGCTAAATACTCAATTTTTTTCATCCACTGAACAATAACAGGTAGTGGGTCAGATTTGGCCCGTGAACTGTGGTTTGCACACTATTGGATATAAACAGAAACTGACACTTGCTTAAGCAGAAAAAGGAGGGTTTTTAAACAATTTTAGTTAGCTGTCAGAACTGTTGAAAGGCTGAAGGATAAGCTTCAAGCAGCAATTTCTAAAATTGTTCTGAAGAGGAAGCCGCTACCACCCCTCTGCCACACAAGGCACGAGAGGAAGGTGCTGCTGCCTCCATGTCCCATGGATGCCACTTCTGTACCAGGAACACAAGGAACCCACTGCCAGTGCAGAAAGTTGGAAGAATGTCCCCACTCACACCAAAGCAGCAAGAAAGGATTTTTCATGGGGCCTCCTTAAATTGCCAAACCCAAAAAACAAATCTTATCCAGAAATGCCTGACTGAAGAAGCCTAGGTTATATGCCCCTTACCTAGAATGCTGAGGAGTTTTCTGGGTTCTAGGTTAGAAGGCAGCACCAGTAAAGCCAGCCTTTTTCCTATATGTTTTTTTTTCTTCTTCCTATATGTTGAAAGTTCAAATGGTACTGGGTTGCCAGACAATTATCATTCACGTATAAATGCTAGTGATCATCCACCTGCCAATGCAGGAGACACAAGACACTTGGGTTTGATCCCTGGGTTGGGAAGATCCCCTGGGGTAGGAAATGGCACCTCACTCCAGTATTCTTGCCTGGAAAATTCGAGGAGCCTGGTGAGCTACAGTCTATGGGGCCACAAAGTCAGCCACCACTGAGGTTATTTGCCCCTCAAAAAACTTCCTAACT